CTCGCGGTGCCGGGGGCCGCAGGGTGCAGGGCTCGTGGGTGCACTGGGTGCTGGGAGCAACGGTGGAGGGGAATTCGGGGGGGCGGAGGGGACTTTGGGGTGGCGGAGGGGAATTTGGGGTGACGGGGTGTGCGCGCAGGGCAGGAAGGGAGGCGGAGGGCCAAGAGGTGGGTGCGAGGCCGCAGGCGGTTCCTGCAGCGCTGGTTGCGGCTCTCCCGCTGCTTCGCCGGAGGAGTGGGGACTGGTCCCTGTGCGCAGGGACGGAGCCGCCCCCACGGGTGTGCACGGACAGGTCCGTGTGCGGGGATGGATCCACGTGTGCGTGGGCAGATTCACGTTTGCACAAGCGGATTGATTTGCACGGGTGTGCATGGATGGAGCCATGTGCATGGATGGATCCACGGTGCACGGATGGATCCATGTGCACGGATGGATCCACATATGCATGGATGGATTCACATATGCGTGGATGGATCCGCATGGGCATGGACGGATCCATGTGTGCACAGATGGATCCATGTGCACGGATGGATCCACATATGCATGGATGGATTCACATATGCGTGGATGGATCCGCATGGGCATGGACGGATCCATGTGTGCACAGATGGATCCATGTGCACGGATGGATCCACATATGCATGGATGGATTCACATATGCGTGGATGGATCCGCATGGGCATGGACGGATCCATGTGTGCACAGATGGATCCATGTGCACGGATGGATCCATGTGCATGGATGGATCCACATGTGCGTGGACGGATCCACAAGTGCATGGATGGATCTCTGTGTGCACAAGCAGATCCATTTGCACGGACGTGCAAGGATGGGTCCCTGTGTGCAGGAACCCATCCGGTCACTTGGGTGTGCATGGACAGATCCGTGTGCATGGACGGAGTCAAGTGTGCATGGATGGATCCACATGTGCACAAGCAGCTCCATTTGCACGGGGGCGCATGGACAGATCCCTGTGCACACATGTGCACGGATGGATCCACGCGTGCAGGGATGGATTCATGTGTGCATGGACAGATCCACGCGTGCACAAGTTCCGCATGTGCACAAGCAGATCCATTTGCATGGGGGTGCATGGACAGGCCTGCGTGTGCATGGGCAGATTCATGTTTGCACAAGCAGATTGATTTGCACGGGTGTGCATGGACGGATCCGTGTGCATGGATGGATCCACACGTGCCTGGAAGGATCCCTGTGCGCAGGAACAGATGCATTTGCATGGGTGTGCATGGGCAGGTCCATGTGCATGGACAGATCCACGTGTGCACGGATGAATCCACGTGTGCACAAGCAGATCCATTTGCATGGATGTGCATGGACGGATCCATGTGCACACATGTGCGTGGATGGATCCCTGTGCGCAGGAACAGATCCGTTTGTGTGGGTGTGCACAGGCAGATCCGTGCACATGGAGGGATCCACATGTGCGTGGATGGATCCACGCGTGCACGGATGGATCTCTGTGTGCACAAGCAGCTCTATTTGCACGGACGTGAAAGGATGGATCCCTGTGTGCAGGAACAGATCCAGTTACGTGGGTGTGCATGGACAGATCCGTGTGCATGGACAGATCCACACGTGCGTGGATGGGTCCACGTGTGCGCAAGCAGATCGATGTGCATAGGTGTGCATGGATGGATCCACGTGCACACATGTGTAAGGATGGATCCACACATGCATGGATGGATCCGCATCTGCACAAGCAAATCCATTTGCACGGGCGTGCATGAACGGATCCATGTGCACACATGTGCACGGAGAGATCCCCGTGCGCATGGACAGATCCACATGTGCGCGGAGAGATCCACGTGTGCAGAAGCAGATCCAGTCGCACGGACACCCACAAAGGGATCCCCGAGTGCACGGATGGACCCGTGTACAGGGGAGTGCACGAACAGATCCATATGAGGACAGATCTGGGGACAGAAAAGCCACCGGCGCTGAGGCGCTGGACACGCCGAAAGCATTGTCCCCGCGTCGGGGACGTTCCCGTTTGCCGCCTGGTTGGTTGTGGGCAACTGGAACCAATTAGTTGCCACGAGGCCAACTGATGCCTCGCGAAGTGTTCCTCACCCCACCAGAAGCAGAAAGCAAAATACTCTGCAAACACGACTGGAGGCGAGCGGCTGCGGCTGTCACAAGGGTACGGTGACAAGGGGGACCGGTTGTCGGTGACACCCCCCACATCCGAGCTTCGAGGAAGCGGCGGTATCTGCTCGCCGGAGCGGAAGCGCCGACGGAGTTGCAGAAGCTGCTGAGGGTTTTTCTTGGAGCCGAGAGAACCCCGAGCGAGCGGAGGGTGGGGATGGGATGGGGGACCTGGCGGAGGACCGGTGGCGATTTGGGGTTGGGGAAGAGTTGGGAGCCACGCGGAGATGGGGACGGCAGTCACAGTCCCGCAAGGGCATCAAATCCGCACCGGCGCATGGGTGCCACATGTCCTTGTCACCCACGGGTGGCCCTTAGCAACTGCACACTGATAAACATCGAGGATGACGGGGATGGGGCCGGGGGGAGAGGAAGGACACTGGGGTTTAAAATGAGCCGTACTCACAAAATAACCCCCTTTCTCCCCGGAAAAGCTGTGGGTTTATCTTCATTTTCCGCCGTGTGCTGTCCCGGGAGCCTCAGCAGCACTCGGCAGTGGGAGGACACCGGGGTGGGCACCCAAGGGACACTGCGGGGTGACGCCAGCCCCGCGGGGTGACTCACGGGGACCCCGTGCCAGCGCGTGAGGGCCTTTTCCACCAGCTGAGGACCACACTCCTCCTTATCTCCCGCACACTCATCCCCCCCTCCTCCTCCTCCTCCTCCTTTTAAGTGACCGGAAAAGTGTCACAACCTCAAGTCACAAGCGAGCCAGGGCAGAGGGACAGCGTCGCGCTCGGGTTAATAATCCACCTCCTGCTCGACGGAGGATGAAAGCAGCAGCCACCTCTTTTTTTTTTTTTTTTTTAAATTTTATTTTTGGCAGGGA